CTACTCTGAGATGACCTGACGGAGCACAGGGGAGGAAGCCTGCCCGGCTGAGAGGGGGACCTGACGGTTGAGTGAACAGCGCTCAGAATTTGTAGTCCTAAGGTTCTGGGTTTGATCCCCGGCAGAGGCAGAAACAACTGGGCAGTTTCTTTCACCCTGATGCCCCCCTATTCACCTATTAGTAAATAGGTACCTGGGAGTTAGACAGCTGCTACGGGCTGCTTCCTGGGGAAGTGTAACAAAAAGGAGGCCTGGCCAAGGACTGGGCTGCAAGGACACTAAGCCCTGAAGTCATCTCAAGATAACCTGCCCCGCCAGCCCCGAAACCCCCGAAGGAGGAGGAGCCACCCAACGCCACTACAGGTTGGAGGATACGACCCAAAATGTCCACGAATCATGGAACTAGGTGTGAGCAACAGTGACCTTCCCCCCCCCCCATTGCACTGTCAATGGGGCGACCTGCAAAAGGGCCGACGCTCCTTACGAGAAGCTGGCCGACTAGCAAAGCGAACTTCACGCCGACTAGACGATACCGGCTCTGAAGAAAATACTGGCTCAGCAACCGACACCAGTGGCCCACCCCAATCTGCGGAATCCCGAGCCCTGGCACGACCTTTCCGAGAAGGCCGAGAATAGCCACCCTGGAGAACCAACAAGTCCGATAAATGACCACAACTAGATGAAGCCACCTGCAGAAACTGCATGACAGTAGTCTCCGCAAACAGCAACGGACAAAAGAGGGATGAAAACCTAAGAGCATGAGCCCAGATGATTCCAAAGAGAGCGAGCACAGCTTCCTGGCATGCAAGGCAAAAAGCAAAGAACAGAGACTGCCTCCTTGAGAATTGGCACAAACAACTTCAATAGTGTGGCCGACACCCTAGCCACCGAGGCCAGCACCATAGATGAAGGCCCGGCATCCAACACCCCCAAAGCCAAATGCCCCCAGGCGTGCAAGTACTCAGCTACCAAAGACAGCAAACGGGTGGGAACCTGCACGTGCAGCTGCACAAAGCCAACATCCCGAGGAAGCACGGGCGAACAAGTATGCATTGAGGTGCTCAAGACCGCCCCCCAGGTAAACCTGCAGAATGGTAGAAGTTTCTCGCCATTCAAGCATGCGGGTCTGACAGAACCCATGCCACGCCTCCAACGAAAATAATGGGCAGTCTGCCAGCCAGGAAGACTCCAGAACCTCCAAACACACCCAATACCGGGGAAGAAGAACCAAACTCAAATGAGGACGGATTCATGAGAGAGGCAGAATCCGGGGTCTCGCAGGAGGCATGCAGCAAGCACCTCCAGAACCTCCTTATGTGAGATTCGAAAAGCAGAAAACCTCCGGAAAGACGGAGCCGAGGAACTCGAGTGCACCTGGAACCGAACCCGGGGAGGAGCCGACTCTGAATCATACTCATACAGGGAAGGAGGGGTAAGAAAACCCTTCCCTCTGCAACAAGTTGCATGCCCCAGACATCACTCGATACCCTTACTCAAATCTCTGAATATGTTAGATATTAAGTCACTGCACATCCTCTAATGTGTACTCTATATATTTAAAACTCTGAACTGTAATGTCAATCCTGACCTTAAGAGCTTCCTAGAAGGTTGTAACAAAACCCATTGGCACCACACCAGAAACAAATACTGTACCTATTTGATATTCCAAGAGTATGACTTAAACTAGAAATGCTCTACAAATCAAGGGACCTGGAACGTGGAATGACCTTCCCAATCATGTTGAAGGCTGTACCTCTCTCAACCAATTTAAGATGAAAACTAAGTACTACCTAATAAACTCCATGTAACCTACCTTACCCCTAAATGTCATCCTATGTTTTGCCATTTTAAACAATGCTGTTAGTTGACCAACTTGTATAATTGCTATTTTCTGCCATGTTCTGCCCCCCCCCCCCCCCACTCTTTTTTTTATTCCTCTTTTCAACACAATTTATACTTTAAGCTTAATTAGTATTAAGTTTTAGTCTAAGTGTTCTTTTTCCCCCCACACCTTACCTGAAATGCTATGCATACTAGTGGCTTTAGGAGTACTAGCTCTATCTTTAAATCCAACATTATGTTTGTAACTCATCTTCAATGTATGTACCTTTACCTGAATAAAAAATCTAAATCTAAATAAGCCCCACAAAGAGGGCACTAACATCCAAGCGAGGTCAAAGGGGGCCCAAGCCCCTCTCAGGTTAACTCCTCCTCAGCCCTGGGATCCCCCAAGTTGGGACCCAGGGCAGAGCAGTCCTCCATACCCTCTACCACTGAAGAAAAAGGCAGAGTCCAGGGAAAAGGCAGAAAAGAAGGGGGCCTGCATGTGACCCAGAAGCCTTGGCAGGAGGAATCAGCTCAAAAGCTGCCCAAGTCTCATTACCAACTAAACCCTGTTCTGACTCCGAAACCCTAAGAGGTTTGGGAGCCGGAAGTAGGGGAGAGGGGGAGCAGGGTGAATAACATGGAAAGGACCAGTAAGCGCGGACTGAACCAAAGTCGAAGCAACTAACGCCCCCCAAGTCCGGGTCCCTACAACGAAAACGGGGCAGCCTTGGGGCATCTGGGTGGGCGACCAACCTAAACCAAGCAACGCAACGTGGATGCCACCTGTACCCAAATATAAATGTTATCAGAACTGGTAAACTGGAGAACATGCAGAGAACACAGCTCGCAAGACTCCGGGTCGCCGTGGCGGTGGGGTGTGACGTTTGCTTATTTCCTTGGGATTGGAGGGAGTTCTGCCTCTCTGTTCTGTTTTCAGTTGTAATTTTCTTACCATATGGGGGTCTGTTTTGTTATGCCTACCTTTCTGGGTGCCTAACCCGGGTCGATGGTAGATAAGGAAAAACCCCAATCACCGGGGGGGCTTCCAGGGCCATTGCTCCCTGTGCCTCTCCGAAGGGGCCAGGTTCTGGCTCGTGGTCCCTGGTAGGCTGAACTCCTATGGCTAATGCCCTGGTCTAATGAATTGCATATTAGCCCGATAGCTCCAGGGAGCCAAAGCGGCTCCCCACAGGAAAAAATTGTAACTTGGAAGACCCTCTTAATTATAGACCTGTATCACTGACAAGAGCAGTAGTCAAAACATTTAAAAAATGATTTTGATAAATGATACTAGAAGGGTAACAAGCAGACTTCTGACATGGATGAAAAATTTTCCGACAGCAAAATGAGGGGCAGTAATCAGAGGCAATGTATTGGACTGGAGAACTGATTCTTGTTGAATATCACAAGCCTTAGTTCTAGTACCAGTAATGTTTGTTGTCTATATAAACGATCTACCAGAAGGAATACAAAATTATATGAATGTGTTTGCTGATGATGCCAAAATACTAGGGATGATAAGAAACTTAGTGAAAAGGTGGTGGAGGCCAAAACTGTCAATACAGTAGTTTCAAAGCATTATATAACAGTGCTAGGAAGACGCGACACCATGACTATACTCTCATCCTGTAACTACACTTAGATAATTACATTTCCCTGTAATGGTCTTGGTAGTACAGATGGGATAATCCTTGTATCACAATCAGGAATCCCAGGTTCGAATTCCAAGCAGGACAGAAATGGTCGGACACATTTTCCTTCATCTAATGCCGCTGTTCACCTAGCAGTAAATAGGTACCTGGGAGTTAAGCAATTGTTGTGAGGTTTGCGTCTTCGGAAAGATCAGTAGTGTAACCTTTGATGACCTCAGTACAAGCCTAAAGTGTATACAGTGATACCTCCATTTACTAATTTAATCCATTTCCAGAGATGGTTTGTAAATCGAAAATTCAAAAACCAAAACAAATTTTCCCATAAGAAATAATGTAAATTAATTAATCTTTCACACTGCCAAAATATTAACTTCAAAATACATTTCCTACATAATACTACAAATATTTTGTACTACAGTATGTACATGTTATATCTTGCCTTTATTGATGATTCTTATTGGCGTATGGAAGACGGACAGGAGGGGAGAAAGAGGAGAGGTGTTAGTGTTTGGAAGGGGAGCCCCCTTCCATTATAACATCTAACGGTGATGACTTTTGCTGGGGTAGTCTCTCTCCTATGTTATGTAGGCTTCCCACTACAACCTGGTTGTGGCTCACTGCTTGCTTGTCTTTCTAAAAATCTTTCTATTGACACTTGTTTTTCCCTATGTTTTAACACATGTCTGTAGTGAGACATAACATTGTCATTAAAATGGTTAATGTAACGGCCTGCTACAACTTTATCTGGGTGACACTAGTCGGCAAAAGTTTGCAGTCTTCCCATGCTGCACACATTTTCTTAATTAATGAGGAAGGGACATCCTCTACCTCCTCCTCCTCGTCCTCCCCCGAAGAAATTTCCTCAGCTTTTACGGTGAAAAAACCAGTTGAATGTAATGAAACGCCATTTTCTGGGTGAGACCCGTCATGCCCCCTCCCTTGGTCAGGTCAGGTCAGGTCAGGTCAGGTCAGTACCAGCCCGGTCAGTCGTTCGTTCATGTTGGTCGGTCAGATCGGTCGGTCAGGTCGGTCAATCATTGAGATCAGTCATGTTGGTCAGTGAGGTCAGTCAGTCAGTGAGGTCCCTTCACATTACCTCTTCGAACATCCCCCCCCCCCCACAAAAAAAAAATCTATTGACTCAACCAGCCACCTTTCATAGAAATATGGTGGGGGGCAGGGGTCACAATTAGGTTCATCTTTCTTTTCATCGGACCAATAGGACAAACACTCAACCAGCCTATGTTTGTCCCGTACCCCTAGACCATTCACCCTGCAAAGTTGGGCAGGATTAGCCCCAAGTGTCTGGCCTCCAATCTTGGACAGACAGAAATAACCATTCTCTTACAAATACAGATTATTAAGTTACTATCCAATCTCTGACAAGTCATACCCATACCCATGCCTAAATGATGCTTAATTTCCCTAATTACTGAGCTTATTCTAATATGCAGAAAACAATATTAAAAATTTTATTCTCAAATTACAATTAATATATCACAGCAAGCCATGACAACTTACGTGGTAACAAAGCCAGTCTGCCACATGGGGGATAGTTGATAACTGCAGCAGGGAGAAGAATAAGATCTCCCACTTCACACATGTGTATACTCCCTGTGTCTATACCGTAAACCCAAGCAACTGGGCCTGCTGATCTCACAACTTTTACTCGAATGTATGCCAAATCTTCTTTACCATTAAGGATACAAATGCCATGCTGTATAAAAAAAAATACACAAGGAGGATATTAAATACTGATGCACGTTACACAAAAATATAAAAAACATGAGTTCTGAGAGAAGTTTAAATGCAGCCACAACAAATTATATGGACTATGGTCACCACTTTGCCATTTGACCTGGTTTTACTTAAGTTCTACTACAGTACAGGTATGCATTAGTTTTCTTTCCAACACTCCTTTTCCTGCCTTTTACCCCAATCACTACTGGAGGCACCACCATCCAAACTTTTTATTTTCATCATCTGAGTGCCACCAAATGTTTTCTCCAAAGCAAATACAGTGGCAGCTCAGTCTACAAATTTAACCCGTTCCAAGAGCCGAATTGTTAACCGAACATTCGTACACCAACAAATGTTCACGTACACGTACATCATTCGTACACGTACACCATTCGTACAAGGGAGCCGGTCGGCCGAGCAGACAGCATGCTGGGCTTGTGATCCTGTGGTCCTGGGTTCGATCCCAGGCGCCGGCGAGAAACAATGGGCAGAGTTTCTTTCACCCTATGCCCCTGTTACCTAGCAGTAAAATAGGTACATTACCTGGGTGTTAGTCAGCTGTCACGGGCTGCTTCCTGGGGGTGGAGGCCTGGTCAAGGACCGGGCCGCGGGGACACTATAAAAAAAAAAAAAAAAAAAAAAAAAAAAAAAAAAAAAAAAAAAAAAAAAAAAAAAAAAGCCCCGAAATCATCTCAAGATAGCCAAATCAAATTTTCCCATAGGAAATAATGTAAATTGAATTAATCTGTTCCACACACCCAAAAATATTAAGTTAACACTTTGACTTCGTGATGACATTCTCGCAGTCATTAAAACAATATACATGGTTCGTAACATGACGTTAATGCTGTCAACAATTATATTATTTGTAAAAATTCCATTTATTATCCGATTATTATGGGACTCATTTTTAAAATGCGCATCAATGTCTTCCCATTCTCTGTATACCCCACGTGGCATCACGACACCGCTGCATAGGTGGCCACCCACGAGGCAATGTCATGATGCCACGTGGGGTATGAAAGCACAATGTCGTGGGAGGGACTGTCTATCTTTCAAGGTTTATAACCCAAATAAACCTGATAAGTATGGAGTAAAGCTGTACATGCTGGATGACTCAAATACTAGTTACATCTCTGATTTTGAAGTGTATGCAGGAAATGGGAAGACAACAATTGAAATGGTTATGGGCTTGATTGCACCACCGAAGAACAAATGTTACCATGGATAACTACTATAGCTCGGTTCAACTTAGTGAACAGCTGCATGAACATGGTGTTTACACCTGTGGTATTCTCAGATTGCAGTGTGATGCACACAAAGATCTCCAGCTAGAAGCAAAGAGGAAACTTCCAGTAGATAAAACTGTATTCTGACAGAAGGACAATACCTTTATAATTCTGTGGAAAGATAGGTGAGTAGTTTCACTCATCACAACTTGCAGATATACAAGAAGTGGAAAGAAGGAAAAGATAATGCAAATGTGACGGAACATCTTCATTGCAACAGGTCACTGTGAACAAACCAAAGGCAATCTGTATCTACATTAACCACATGAAGTGTTGATCACTTCGACCAAATGGTCAATTAACATTCTTTCACACAGAAATGTCATAAGTGGATAAAGAAAATCTCGCTCTACTTTCTGTAAATGACTATCCATAATGCTTTTGTGTTATACAAGTACTACACAACAGATACCAAGAAACTCAAATTCCTCTAGTTCCACGAAGTAATTTGGTCACTAGTGAAGTTTAAGTATAAGGATTGGCCTCTCAAAAATGACATCATACATGCTTGTGATGTACACGAGGATGACAACAGTTCTACTGGTGACACGGTTGCAACACCCAGGACATCAGGTGTGAGGCTGCCACTCTTCCCTTCTTCACCTCGAAATGAAGATTCATCATCTGACTCAGAAGACGAGGTTCAAACAATGCCTAGTGATGCTGCTGCTAGAAGACCTCGTATTATGGATAAACCCAAATGTCTGAACAGGAACTTGAACCATTCCCTAATTCACATCGAGAAAGCTCTGGGGTGTTGTGTCTGCTACAAATCTGGCAAAAGGAAGGACACCAAGTATAAGTGCAAGTGGTGAGGTGTGGCACTGTGTGCTGCACCGTGCTCCTGCTTGTACCATCGCAAGATGAAATACTGGGTGGCTAAGCAGTAGTGTTTACTCTCCATCCCCTCCACCTATAAAACATATGTTGAACAACTTCAGGAAATCTCTTCCTGGAGCAGGTGGAGGGGTTCTACATAATGCTCAACTCATGCTCCATGATCATCATTGGGTGGTAAGTATATAGGTTTATTAATTTCTTTATGCATATGATATTGTGGTAAAACACTGATGAAGGAAGCAAGACAAATGAAATAGTGTAACAAATAAAGTCGGGAATGAATAAAGACTGTAAACAATGACGAAAAGCCATTTTTTTCACATGACTGTACTTTATCTTATGGTATTGGTAATGTTCTATTTGACCCTTATATGCATATATCCCTTTAGAGCATTCTATTTCAAACAATTTTATAACAAAATGAACGATGTAGCACGAAAACTGAGGTGAGAAAACTAGAAAGACTATAAACATTGGAGTGTGGTTGTGCGTTCATGGGGCAACGGCTGGCCGACCTTACGGTGAGCTGTGGTTGGCCTGCTGGGCTCGACAAAGAGTTAAAACTACATTTTAAACAGAATACTACTCATATTTTTTGCTGTACCTTATTTTTATTGTCTACTCTTGTTGGTATACTGAAGACGGTGAAGAGGAGGGGAGGTTTAAGTGTTTGGGAAGCAAGTCCCCTTCCATTACAACATCAGGCAGTGATGCCATTTCTAGGGTACTCTCTCTCATATGTTTCGTAGGTATACCACTGGGACCTGGTTGTGCCTCACTGCTTGTTTTTCACTAAGAATCTGTTTAAAGACTTGTTTTTCCATACTTCTAACACTTGTCTGTAGTGAGACATCACATTGTCATTAAAAAAAGTTAACAACAGCTTGCTACAGCTTTATCTGCGAGTCTTTTCAGAAAAACTTTGCAGTTCATTCCATACTGAACACATTTTTGTAGCCACATCAACCACATGCATACTACAGTATCTTCATGTTTAAAAATGATTATATAATACATGTACTACCCTCCCCTGCTAAATCTCCAAGGGAGCCAGGACTTGGAGCAACAACTGAACCGGTGGGAAGAGGTACAGGTAACCCCACCTTGACTGGTCCAGTCGAAAGTCATTGACACTGACAGCTTCACAGTCGGGAAAAGGCACAGCATATACCAGAAGACGCCTTGAGCAAGCTGACACAAAGTTGTCCATGTCCAGGCACACGAACATCCAGCAGAGCCAATGGAACGAGTCGGCGTCGACTGTCCAGTCCGTGGACAGGGGAAGGAAATGGGACAGGCCGTCCACCAGTACATTGGACACTCCCTGGACATGAACCGCCAAGAGAGTCAAAACCCCAAGAACTCAGCAGACGCATCACCTGAAGTGACCAGCCACAAAGAACCAAGGACAGCATCGAACCCTCTAAGTTCAGACAATGAACCATAAGGGAGCAGTCCGAATGGAGCCGGATCATCGATCCGAAAGCGACGCGAACCCTCTGAGGCGAATGCCATACCGCAGCGAAATCCTGTGCAGTGCTGTGAGCCCAACAAAAGGACGAGTGCCATACCGCAGCGATAGTATGCCTCACCAGTGCTCACCAGCCTGGTGAGCACTGGTCACAAAGCCCCAGTCAAGAGACAAGGCATCCGTGAACACATCGAGTGAGGGCTCGGACAGGCGCCACGGCACAAAACCTAAAAAAAACCCTGAAGAGGAAGCCAGCAATGTAGCAACCGACACAAGGCCCATGGGGGTCCAAACCCAGCGATCGCGAGAGCGGCGAAGGGGATGCAAGGGATGTCCCTGAAGTAATCAAAACAGCCGCCGAAGCCAGATCCAACCCAACAGGTAGAGAAGCACAGCGAGGTTCAGATTCCCACACAGCTGCTCGAACAACCAACACGTGACCCAGGTGCCCTCCAAAAATAACTGAAGGCTGGACCGCAGCCACAGCAACGCCGCAGGAGGGAGAGACAAGGAAATGGTCCGAGAGTCCCACACAAGACCCAGCCAAGTCCGAACCTGAGAGGAAACCGAATGTGACTTCCTCTAGTTGCCCTTGAACTGGAGGAAGTTCCAGGTGGAACTTTCCCACCTGGCAACGTGGGAAAGAACCAAATCCCTGGCGAGCAGTCACGCAGACTGACTGGGAGCCCAGACCAGTCAGTCATCGAGGTAAGCCAGAACTCGAACCCCTAACGGATGCAAACAGGTCACCATGACCCGGGTAAGGCGTGTGAACCCACGAGGTGCCAGATTTAAACTGAAAGAAAGGCAATGAAAGCAGTAAGCCTGTTGCCCACAAGACAAACCCGAGCCATTCCCTGAACCCCGGATAAATCAGGATGTGTCAATACGCTTCCCAGAGGTCCAGGGACACCACCACCAGCCCAGCTCTAAAAGCAGCCGAAGAATCCATGATTCAACCAGGAATGTAAGGTAGCGAAGCAATTGAGTAAAAGAACATGGAGGAACTACAGGAATAATAGAACGCCAGAGAAAAGGGAGAGATACCAGAGGGCAAGAAATGAGTACCTCAGAGTAAGGAGAGAAGCAGAGACAGTTTGAAAATGACATCGCGAGTAAAGCTAAGACCCAACCAAAGCTGCTCCACAGTCATATCAGGAGGAAAGCAGCAGTAAAGGAACAAGTGATGAAACTGAGAAAAGGGGAGAATAGATACACAGAGAATGACAAGGTGTGTGAAGAACTCAACAAGAGATTCCAGGTCTTCACAAAAGAACAAGGAGAAGCCCCTGTGCTAAATGAGGAGGCAAACCCAGCAACCTTGGAGGCTCTTGACCTCACCAGTCAATATGACAAAGGATGTTGGGCCTGACAGAATCTCACCGTGGATACTAAAAGAAGGTGCAGAAGCACTAAGCGTGCCACTCTCTATGGTGTATAACAGGTCATTGGAAACAGGAGACCTACCAGAAAGCTGGAAGACAGCTAATGTAGACCCAATATACAAAAAGGGTGACAGACAAGAGGCACTAAACTACAGGCCAGTTTCCCTAACTTGTATACCATGCAAGGTGATGGCGAAAATCTGAGAAAAAGGCTCATAGAGCATCTGGAGGAAAATAGCTTTGTAACAAACTACCAGCATGGATTCAGAGATGGTAAATCGAAACAGTAGGAGGGAATATAAAAACCCATGGTTTAATAGACAGTGCCAGGAAGCAAAAATGAGAAGCAAGAGGAAGTGGAGGACAAAGGATAGATGACAATAGGATTAGATGCAACAGAGCAAGGAATGAATACATTAATATAAGGAGAGTATCGGAAAGAAATTATGAGAATGATATTGGAATCAAAGTGAAAAAGCAACCTAAATTACTACATAGTCATATACGAAGGAAAATGTCGGTGAACAACTATGTGACAAGACTAAAGTTAAACAGAAGGGGCATATACAGAAAGCGACAAGGATATCTGCAAGATACTGAATGCCAGTTTCCATGGAGTGTTCACAACCGAGCCTGAGCAGCTCCCATTGTTAGAAGAGATGACCCAAGATGAGAGTCTAATAGATATAGAAGTGACAAGAGAGGAGGTAATGAAATAGCTAACACTGAATGAAACTAAAGTAGTTGGACCAGATAATGTATCACCGTGGATACTAAAAGAGGCAGCGCAGGCCCACAATGCTACTTTCATGTGGTGGTGTGTGGGGGAGTGTGCACCCGGAGGACCGTTGCTTTTTCACTCGTGTCATACTGTGCACTCCAGCCTGGTGGACCAAGCTCTCACAAGTCAAGCCTGGTTTGACTTGTGAGAGCTTAAAGAATGGTGCTTAAAGAATACAAAGAGGAGCCCTCAGCATGCCTCTAGCAAGGATCTATAATGAGTCACTTATGAAGGCAGAGTTACCCAGTTGCTGGAAGAAGGCAAATGTGGTACCAATTTTCGAGAAATGAGATCGGGAAGATGCATTTAACTACAGACCAGTATCACTGACAAGCATCCCCTGTAAAATACTTGAAAGAATAATCAGGTTAAGACTGGTTACACACTTAAGAGAAAATTAGCTATGTAAACAAACACCAACATGGGTTCAGAGAAGGGAAATCATTCTTAACAAACCTTCTGGAATTCTATGGCAAAGTAACAAGAATAAGCTAGGACAGGGAAGGATGGGCAAACTACATACAGTTTTTCTGGACTGCTAAAAAGCCTTTGATACAGTACCTCATAGGAGACTGCTATTCAAACTTAAGTGGCTAACAGGAGTTAGTAGAAAAGCCCTTGCTTGGGTAAGGAATTACTTAACAGGCGCCAGAGAGTAATAGTCTAGGGCGAGAATTCAGACTGGCAAACCGAAACGAGTGTAGTACCTCAAGAATCGGTGTTGTGACCAGTTCTATTTCTAATACATATGAACGACATGTCTACAGGAGTCGAGTCCTTTATATCGACGTTCATGGATGACGTAAATTAATGAGACTAGTTGTGACATGAGGATTGTAGGCTCCTCCAAGAGGACTTGAACAAGCTGCAGAGATGGTCAAAGAAATGGCTACTGAAGGCTGACATCAAGTATAAAGTTATGAAAATGGGTCTAGGTGACAGGAGACCAAAGGGTCGGTACACAATGAAGTGAAACTATCTTCCTGTGACGAATCGAGAAAGGGACCTGGGAGTGGCCGTAACACCAAATCTAACTCCTGAGGCACATATAAATTGCATAAAGACAGCACAGTACTCTATGCTAGCAACGGTTAGACTGTCATTCAGAAACCTAAGTAAGGAGGCATTCAGAATGCTTTACACTGCATTCACGAGACCAGTCAGAGTATGCAGCCCCACCTAAAGAAACACATTAGGAAACTGAAAAAGGTTCAGAAATTTGCAACAAGGCTAGTCCCAGAGTTGCAAGGGATGAGAAATGAAGAGCGACTGAAGGAATTGAACCTGACGACATTAGAAAAAAGGAGGGAGAGGAGAAATATGACAGCATACAAAATACTTAGGGGAATTGACAGTGAAAAGAGAAAAATGTTCACATGGAATACCAACAGAACAAGGGGACATAGGTGGAAGCTGGAAACTCATCTGAGTCACAGAGATGTTAAAAAGGTTTCTTTTAGCATGAGAGTAGTAGGGAAATGGAATGAACAAAAGAAGCATGTTGTGGAAGCAAACACTATTCATAGCTTTAAAACTAGGGATGATAGAGAAGGAAAGGAGTCATTGCTTTAAACAACTGGCGGCTAGAAAGGTGGGATCCAAGAGCCAACGCTCAATCCTGCAGGCACAATCACTGAGGTAATTACCAATAGGCGAGTACAAATAGGGGAGTACAGGTATATTATTCCATAATAAAAACCTCTCACCTGCAAGGGTAATGAATATGTAGATCCAAGTGATGGCAGGAACTTGACCTTCTTTTTCACTTCCAACTTTTCAATAGCTGAAGAGATTTCCTTCAAGCAATCAAGCCAGTCAGTCATATTAATGAGAAATACTACTCCATTTTCATACAGCTGACCAACGTGAAAATCTGCCCATTCAAAACTCAAGTCAATCATTGCTTTCGAATTTGAATTCTTTTTCAAATTATCACTTGATTGCAGTGCTGGCATCTTTGTAACATTCTTAAATGGAACCTTTCCTTCCTTACTTTTTAAATCCTTTGTTGGAACTATATTTATAAACTTTCCCGAGTCTTCCAACAGCTGTGTGAGTGACAACACAGATGTTCCCTGCATATTATCTTCTCTCACTTCATAAATATTTAAAATCTGCCAGGTATAAATAAGATACATATCAGCAGGATTCCCAGGATCAGCAAAGGTCTCTTGGAATAACTTTTTTGATTCTTGCGGAGTCATTCGTGCTATATGAACCTTGATCTTACTGTCATCTTTATGTTGTAGCAGCTCCCTGATGGATCCTTCAGTGTACCTTGTTTCCTGCTTGAATACATTTATCATTGACTTGTAAAGAGTCTGGATAATGTTGTCATTTTTAATAACATTAATAGTCTTTTTGTTAATTTTCTTGGTGACAACAACATTGATACAAGGAATTAAACACATGATAATATCGCAAATTTCAGCCAAATTATTTTCCAAATCAAGAACTGACTGTGCGTAACTCATGAGGCTAATTAAAAAGCAGTTTCCCAAGTACATGTCACTCTTAAGGGCAGAGGAAAACACTGACAGTTTCTCAACTAAATCAACTTGAGATTTTGCTGATCTTAATTCATTTATGTGAATTTCAAGTCTGGAATACCATTCTTTCTCCTCATTTGAAGTTGCTGGAAGTGGCTGAGCTAAAATGTTAACTTTTATTCTCAGATGAAATATCTTAAGCTGCTCCTTAACTCTTTTAAATGAACTGTCCTCTTTAACAGAAGTGCTTCTACTCTTTTCATTATATATAATTTCAGAATTATTGGAGGGTTTCTGTCTCCTGTATAAGTACCTCGTATATGAAAGATAATTTTTAAAGGTTTGTTGCAAAGCATTCGATTCATGTGAAAGGTGCACAGAAAATATCTTTTGGCTAGGATACCTACTTTCGGCTGCTTTTCCAGTTAATGTATCAGAATATAATTCAGGGGGCCTCAAGTGTTTGGTAGTATTAGTTGCCTCTGCATCACAAGACATCAAAAAAGTGTGCTCATGTTCGGTACTTGTCAGGTATTTTACGGCATCATCTCTGTTACTGGAAGATGTTTCCGATGAGTCAACACCAGAGAAATCACTTGTTGATAAATTTTCTTGAGAGTTGCATGTTGATAGTTTTCTTATGCAATCTAAATTATTACTTTTATTTTGTTGAATACAGCTTATTTGATCAAAGTAATTTCCTCTCTTTAGAAGCCTATCATTCACATCATTCACATCTGGGGAACATTTTCCCTGTTTTATGAGGAATAAGAGACGAGAAAATCTTGAAGAGCTATTTCCACCTGCCGTAGTAACAGCTGTGCATGGAGAGGAAACAGATGATTTGTCTGGTAAAGAGCTTCTTGTGCCATTCATACTGATCTGCATCCTTCCATGATCCTGGATATTTTCTAGCTGCTTTATATCTTGTACATGAAATTCCTCTTCTTCAGACTGATGGTCAACTGCACTTTGAATATAACATTCTCCACAGTCATTTTCTGCTTCAAGAACCAAGAAGCGATTTTTACTTATACTGTTAATTTGACTGCATCTCTCATTTCTTGAAAGGCTGTCACTCACTCTAAGCAGATCATGCTCAGAAGACAACAGCTGGTAACTTTGTGTTTCAGTTTTATCCTCATAGTCACTGTAGTCATCCTCAGACTCCATCACTTTCAACAGACCTATCAACCAGACCTGAAGGACGAGCAAAAAGTATTAATAAAAACTACTTCACACCTTAAAAAGTTTCCTAACTATATCTTTCAAACATTTCACAAATGGTTAAAGTAATAATCATCCCAATTTTCTCAAATCAAGGATCCTGAGTTCAATCCTTGAGCAGGACAGAAATGGCTGGGAATATTTCATTTCACCTGAGGCTTCTGTTTGCCTTGCATTAAATAGGTACCCTAGAGTTAGTCAACTGTAATGGGTTGCATCCTGCAGGATGGCCAGCATTGGCCTAGGACATATTTTCTACCTTTTTAAACTAATAGCACACTCAACAAGGCATAACATTTGTTTGTTTTTTATTTTTTGTAAGGACAACTGAGAATATTTTCCCAAGATGTCAGTTTTATTAATTTATTTATTTATATACATTTATATACAGTATATACTGTACATAGCAATAATGTTTTTACATTCTTATAAAGCCACTAACACACATAGCGTTTCGGGCAGGTCCTTAATCTAACAGATAATTTTAAGCAGGTAATTTCTAGCAAAATTGAGAAATGTTAAAGAAATGTTAACAGGTACATTGTAAGAAAATTTAATGAAGATTAGTAGATACATCATAGTAAAATTTGAGGGTTTTCAACAGGTATATTGTAGCATAATTTGAGGATCGTATATAATGTAGTATAATGTAGTAAAATATGCATTCAGTTAACAACCATGATGCAGTAATTACAATGGTGAAGTTGAATGGCTTAGGCACATACATTGGGGGAGTGGAAGGCACATGATACAGTGCTAGTTTAAGGTACTAGGTAGGAAACTATGAGGATGAAATTAGGTTCTTTTTGGTTTTACTTTTGAATGAGGCATAGGCTGGACAGCTTTTCAATTCGTTAGGGAGTGAGTTCCATAGACCAGTTCCCTTTATTTACATAGAATGCCTACATTAGATTAGCTTGACTGGGGATATCAGAGATATTTATTTCTGGTGTGGTGATTATGGGTTCTATTACATCTGTCAAGGAAAAGTTTCAAAGCAGGGTTTGCATTTAAGAACAGGGTTTTGTAAATGTAAATGGCACAAGAGAATGTGTGGAGTGAGTTTGTTTAGCATGTTTAGGGATTTAAACAAGGGGGCTGAGTGTTGTTTGAAAAGTGTGTTACATTATTGTTCTGATTTTTGCTAGGTGATGATGGGCTTCAGGTAGCTTGCAGTGGTTGAACCCCAAGCACAGATACCATATGCAAGATAGGGATAGAGTGGCGCATAGTACAATGAGAAGAAAGCAGTGGGGAACATAATACAGTATCCGAGTTTAGAAAGTATACAAACCATTTTTGAGACTTTCTTGGTTATGTGTTGTATGTGGGTGCTGAAGTTGAGTCTCTTGTCTATGTATAGGCCAAGGACCTTTCCATCATTTTTATTGATGTTAACATTGTCTATCTGAAGCTGAATTGCATTTGTTGATTTGCTTCCAAATAAAATGTAGTAGGTCTTTTCTGTTTAGTGTGCATTTGTCGGTTGACATCCATAAATGGATTTCTTTTTTATTTTGTTATTTACTACATTATTTAGTGTGTGTGGTTGGGATCTGAGTAGATGAAGGTAAAATCATCAGCAAATAATATAGGTTTGAGAATGTTAGACATATAAGGCAGATCATTGATGTATATAAGAAATAGAGGTCCTGGGATGCTGCCCTGTGGCACTCCTACAGTTAATGGTAGAATTGGAGAGGTTATATCATTGATGGCTACATATTAGTGTGTATCACTAAGATAAGATTGGATATACAGTAGTGTAGGGCAAGGCCTCTGATTCCATAATATTAGAGTTTAAGCAAGTAGTAGTTATGAAGAGTCCAATCGGTAACTAATTTTTGTCAAGGGCTGTGTAGATTACATCAACCAGACTAATAATTGCACCGTTGGAACTCTTTTGGGAGCGGAAGCCAACGTGACATGGACTTAGGATGTTGAATTTTACGAGGCAGGAGTAGAGCTGTTCGTAAATAACATTTTCAAATATTTTTTATAATACTGTACAGGTAAATTTGATATTGGTCTGTAATTTTTTATGTCTGCTGTATTGCCTCCTTTATGAACTGCCGTTACTCGTGCTTTTTAAGGTTATCAGGGAAGGTTTGACACTTGAGATTTGTTGAACAGCAAGGCTATAGGTGGTGCAAGATCATGGGAGGCACTCTTGAATACCATAGATAGTATTTCACTAATATTTCATGCTTTGGTTTTTGGTGAGTGCATGATGGACATAACATGTCGGGCTGACTGTTGAAAGGAGAAGAGTCAACTCATTCAAATGAACGGCCAGAAAATTTGATCTTTGTCCCATGGCACACTTGTTGACCTTCACTGCACACCAGTGTGCCAGGGCACACCGGTTGAAAAACACTGGCCTAGGGGGACCTCAATAAGGCCTATCCTCATCAATGGGTATTAAACCTTATTACATTTACAGTAGTTAAAATACATTTAATATTAATCCATATTAATCCAATCTTAATTAGTAAGACCTTAAGGTTGTTACGAGGATCAATGTCCCCACAGCCCTGACCAGGTTTCCTGGTTTGTGGTATGGCCAACCAAGCTGTTATACACTGGAGTATGCAGTTTCAGCCTAGAGTCCATACCTAGTTAAACACAAGACAAAGTTAGAGAAGATTCAGAGGTATGCCACCAGACTAGTCCCAGAGCAGAGAGGTAGGAGTTATAAGGAGAGGCTATGGGACTTAAACCTCCCATCCCTGGAAGACAGAAGAGTTGGGGGAGACATGATTACCATCTACAAAATTCTAAGAGGAAATGACAGAGTGGACAAAGAAACTATTTAGCAAGGGCAGAACATTAACAAGGGGAGACAGGTGGAAACTTAGTACTCAAATGAGCCAAAGAAACATCAGAAAGATTTTTTTTCAGTGTCAGGGTAGTTAACAAATGGAATGCACTTGGCAGAGATGTGGTGGAGGCAGATTCAATACCATTTCAAATGTAGGCATAAGAGCCCAATAGGCTCTGGAACCTGTACACCAGTTTATTCAAATAATAATAATAATAATAATAATATTTTATTTAGGAAAAGTACATACATAGATGGAGAGTTACAAACATTCAGATTATTTATAGACAGAGCTAGTACATATAAATACCTAACGCCACTAATAAGCAGAGCGTTTCGGGCACGGTGTGGAAGAAAAAAAACTTGGACTAAAACTTAATAGTAACTGAGCTTAAAGTATAAATTCGACTGAAAGAAAAGATAAAAAAGGGGGGAACATGGTAGAAAATAGCCAATAAACAAGTTGGTTAACAAACAGCATTGTTTAAAAATAATAAGACATAGGTTAACATTTAAAGGTGAGGTAGATTACATGGAGTTAATTAGGTAGTACTTAGTTTTCATCTTAAACTGGTTGAGAGAGGTAGTGGAAAGTGGAGAGGCAGGACCAAAGAATCGAAGCTCAACCCCAGTAAGCACAACTAGGCTAGTACATTGCTACTAGCAGTTAGACATATAAATTACAGCCCGATTTATCAGGTATCTTTTGAAGGCGTTTATAAAATTCCTTTTTGAACAGAGAGAAGTTGGCTAGCTAGCATTAACATATGGGTGGATAGTGTGTACCTGACTTTTAATTCAATAATTCATTGTTAGGGGGACAGGCAGCCATTGTATATATATACATGTTAGGCTTATATCAAGGTCACCCTCCCCCCCCCCATGGTTGAATTACTGACCCTCTGCAGGATGCAACAACACAACAAGATGACCATCTCCTGGGGTACCTATTTACTGCTAGGTGAACAGTGACATTAAGTGATGGGAAATGCACCCAACCATTACTGTCCCACCCGGGATTCCCAATTGTGAGTCAAGAACAAACCCGACTGTACTACATGATACTACTGTACTATAGTGGCCTTGATGAGGGCAGGAAGCCAGCGGCTTGTTAACCGTCACCCATCTTCTCCTGATTTTTTCAAGCTGAATTTTGAAATTCAGCAGTGTTTTGGCATTTACAGCTTCAGCGGGTTGGCAGTTTTGTGGGTTTAAACCTTATGAGTGAAAAAGGATCCTTTGGTTTCAGGTCGTACATTGTGGCCTATTGAGCCTAAAACCACTGCTTGTTTGTGTTATATTTGACCTTTTTGAAGTTGTCTGGAGTAATATCCTCCAAATTCTTCAGTATTTTGAATGTTTCGACAAGATTAGACTTGTCATGTCTGGTTTGCAGTGTTGTTAGCCCTGAGGCCCTCAACCTTTCCGTGTATGAGTCAATTTAGTTCTGGAATTATTTTTGTTGTCCGGTGTTGAGCTTCCCCAAAGCACCTACGTGTTTCTGAAGATAAGGTCTCCATGCTTGAATACAATAATCCAAGTATCCTGGCCGGGGAGGATTTACTGAGCGTAAATCCTTAACTGTACGCCTCTTCACCAAGCAGTGAATGGGTACCTGGTTGTTAAAAGATTTGTCGGCTCGTATTCCCGGGACCATAAGATTAAGGACCTGCCCGAAACGCTATGCGTGCTAGTGCTTGTACAAGAATGTAAGAACTCTTGTATATATAAATAAATAAAAACGTGAGGTGACAACTTCACTCTGATACCTAACACTTCCATAAGATCTTCACACACCTTATGAAAGATTTCTTACTCACCTCACAATTAATGGAGCGCCTTCACACTCTCCGTGTACCCCAAAACAGCCAACGACCAGCAGCAGGGAGTTATAGGCTTGGTGGAAGACGCAGCTACAGCAGGAGAGCAATACAGCCAGCAGGAGGGACCAACACGGACATCAAGAATTAGGAGCAAGAGAGGCAAGAGCCACCCAGACGAAGCGTTAACACAGGCACCAAAGGGGTGATCAACTGGGTCAGCCCCCGGGAACACGTGCTCTTGTGTTCTCTTTCCTTCTATCTGATGAGGGTGGCTGCCAACTGTCTTTGTTTTTATTTAATTACTAGCTCTGTGTTGAGGAATCTAACAGAATCTACAATAACAGCTTTTCGTTTATTTGTATGAAATAAAAATATGAGAGATGTTGCTTAAAATTACTTTAGAACATATATAATATCAAACTGTTATTAATTTTTGGTGTGGAGAGAATGTCACCAGCATGAGCGCGGGTAAGATAGACACTGCCGGGGTAAAGGGTCCCTCGCTAGTTATTTATTTATTTATTTATTTATTTATTTATTTATTTATTTATTTATTTATTTATTTATTTATACAAGAAGGTACATTGGGTTTTATTTATATATTTATTTATTTATTTATTTATTTATTTATATGTGTGTATATCACGAAAATAAATTATTAAAAATGTGACAGTGTCGGACCACGGAGGAAAATTGAAACAGGAATTTCCTTAAGTACTGATGTAACAGTCACGGAGAGGAGCGGAGGCTTCCATACTGCAGTCTACACCAAAGAAACAAACATAGGAATGTGCCTCAATGCCAATAGTCTCAGTCTCCGTGGTGTAGTGGTAAGACACTCGCTTGGCGTTCCGCGAGCGCTATGTCATGGGTTCGTATCCTGGCCGGGGAGGATTTACTGGGCGCAATTCCTTAACTGTAGCCTCTGTTTAACTCAACAGTAAAATGTGTACTTGGATGAAAAAACGATTCTTCGCGGCAGGGGATCGTATTCCAGGGCCTTGCCCGAAACGCTACGCGTACTAGTGGCTGTACAAGAATGTAACAACTCTTGCATATATCTCAAAAAAAAAAAAAAAAATAGTGACTGCCCAGATAGGTACAAGAGGAGTGTTGTCAATGCTTACGTCGACCGTGCTCTAAGCCACAGCTCAGGATGGAAAGAAGTCGATGAAGAACTCTGTAGGATAAGGCAAGTCCTAGTCAACAACGGCTTCTCTAACGGTTTCGTTAAAGACATCATAAAAAAGAAAGGTAAAACGCCATGCAACTTCTGAAGAGTCAACCAACACAACACTTGAACCCCCAATTAGACTATTTTACAGGAACTTCTTTTCGACGGTTCATAAAATGGAGGAAAGGGTCCTGAAAGATATTGTTGATAGGAACGTCATCCCTACAGACAAAAATCAGAAAATGCAATTGATAATTTATTATAAAACAAAAAAAAAAACGGCCAATCTACTCATGAAAAACTCCCCAGACACCAAACAGAACGCTTTGAAGGAGACCAACGTATTCTATGCCTTTAAATGCCCACTTGGAGACTGTAAGCCCAAAAAAACTCGGTATATAGGCAAGACAACAACGTCTCTTTCTAGGCGACTAACAATGCATAAGCAACAGGGAGCCATCAAGGAACACATAATCTCTTCTCACAACCAGACCATCACCAAAGAACACTTAACAAACAACACAGAAATCATCGATAGGTACGGCGATTGAATATTCACATAATATGCAAGTTTTGCCTTTCTTATGATACTGGTAAGCATTGATGAGTACCTTTTAGCTACTTCCTTTGAAACTAGGCCAATCCTAAGTTTCTTTTCATATTCATGTTTCTTGTTGATTGAGTTGAGAAGAAGCAAAAGGCAATATGAAAAGCACATGGAATACCATCTCTAATATCCTAGGAACTAAACAACACTCCCACAACCAGATAACACTCTCTAAGAATGGCTTTACACAGTCAACTGTTTTAGAAATGGCAAATGAATTTAATAGCTTCTTTTCATCGGTTGGTGCTAACCTTGCCAGTAAAATCCCACAGACTCAGACACATCAACACATTTCTCTCAGGCAGCTATCCAAACTCTCTTCTTCTTTCACCAGTCAGCCCGACAGATGTTGTGTCCATCATACACTCACTAAAAACCAAAGCTAGGAACATCAGTGAAATCCCATCCATTGTATACAAGAGCGCCTCCCATGCCCTTGCGCCATCTATAGCTCTGCTCTTCAACAAATCCCTTGAGTGTCATACCTTCCCTGATATCCTTAAAAAAGCAAGAGTAACGCCAGTTCATAAAGGAGGTAATCCGGCAGACATAAACAATTATAGACCAATATCAAACCTACCCATACTATCAAAAATATTTGAAAAAATTATCTACAAATAGCTCTACTCCTACCTTGAGGTTACCTTGAGGTGCTTCCGGGGCTTAGCGTCCCCGCGGCCCGGTCGTCGACCAGGCCTCCTGGTTGCCGGACTGATCAACCAGGCTGTTGGACGCGGCTGCTCGCAGCCTGACGTACGAGTCACAGCCTGGTTGATCAGCTGGTATCCTTTGGAGGTGCTTATCCAGTTCTCTCTTGAACACTGTGAGGGGTCGGCCAGTTATGCCCCTTATGTGTAGTGGAAGCGTGTTGAACAGTCTCGGACCTCTCATGTTGATAGAGTTCTCTCTCAGAGTACCAGTTGCACCTCTGTTTTTCAACGGGGGTATTCTGCACATCCTGCCATGTCTTCTGGTCTCATGTGATGTTATTTCTGAGTGCAGGTTTGGGACCAGCCCCTCTAATATTTTCCACGTGTAAATTATTATGTACCTCTCCCGCCTGCGCTCAAGGGAGTACAGTTTTAGGCTCTTTAGTCGGTCCCAATAGTTTAGATGTTTTACTGAGTGGATTCTAGCAGTAAAGGATCTCTGCACGCTCTCCAGGTCAGCAATTTCTCCAGCTTTGAAAGGTGCTGTCATTGTGCAGCAGTACTCTACTCTAGAGAGCACAAGCGTTTTGAAAAGTATCATCATCGGTATAGCATCTCTAGTGTGAAAAGTTCTTGTTATCCAACCTGTCATTTTTCTTGCAGTTGTGACGGCTACTTTATTGTGTTCTTTAAAGGTAAGGTCTTCCGACATGAGTACACCCAGATCCTTTACATTGCCTTTTCGTTCTATGTTATGATTTGCCTGAGTTTTGTACGTGGTTTCCGTTTTTATATTTTCATTTTTTCCATAGCGCATGAGCTGGAACTTATCTTCGTTAAACACCATATTATTTTCTGTAGCCCATAGAAAGACCTGATCTACATCTGACTGGAGGTTCGCCGTGTCCTCTATATTGCCTACTCTCATGAAGATCCTATAGTGTCATCTGCAAAGGATGATACAGTGCTATAGGTTGTGTTCTTGTCTATGTCCGAAATGAGGATGAGAAAAAGTACTGGAGCAAGCACAGTACCCTGGGGGACTGAGCTCTTCACGGTTGATGGGCTGGATTTTATTTTGTTGACTATTACACATTGGGTTCTGTTGGTCAGGAAATTGTAGATCCATCTGCCTATTTTTCCGGTAATTCCTTTTGAACGCATTTTATGTGCAATAACACCATGGTCACATTTATCAAAAGCTTTTGCGAAATCTGTGTAAATTACATCCGCGTTATGTTTGTCTTCCATAGCATCTAATGCCATATCATAGTGGTCCAGCAACTGCGACAGGCAAGAGCGCCCTGTTCTGAAACCATGTTGTCCGGGTTATGGAGTTGCTGTGATTCCATGTATTTTGTGATTTTACTTCTTAGCACTCTCTCAAAAATTTTTATGATGTGCGATGTTAGCGCTATCGGTCTGTAATTTTTTGCCTCTGCCTTATTTCCTCCTTTATGAAGTGGTGCTATCTCTGCTGTTTTTTGTATATCAGGAATAACGCCAGTATCTAGGCTTTGTCTCCACAGAATGTGGAGGGCCTGCGATAGTGGTTTTTTGCAGTTCTTTATGAATATGGAGTTCCAAGAATCCGGGCCTGGTGCAGAGTGCATAGGCATATTGTTTATGGCTTCTTCAAAATCCAGTGGGGATAGGGTGACGTCTGATATATGATTTGATGTTGGTATCGTATCCATGGAAAATTCATTTGGGTTATCAATCTTTAGTGTGTTTAATGGCTCGCTGAAAACAGAGTCGTACTGCGTCCTCAGTAGCTCGCTCATTTCTTTGTTGTCATCGGTGAAAGTTCCATCTCCCTTTCGCAGGGGCCCGATACTAGATGTGGTTTTTGATCTTGATTTTGCATAGGAGAAAAAATATTTCGGATTTCTTTCTATTTCACTGATGGCCTTTTGCTCTCTTTGCCTCTGGACTACACTGCACTCATGCACTGGACTATATCCAATCCTATCTCAGTGATAGACACCAATGTGTAGCCATCAATAATATAACCTCTCCCACTCTACCAATAACCGTTGGAGTGCCACAGGGCAGCATCTTGGGACCTCTCCTATTTCTTATATACATCAATGATCTGCCTAATGTCTCTAATATTCTGAAACCTATTTTGTTTGCTGATGATACTACACTCATCTACTCCAACCCCAACCCACATACACTAAATAATGTTGTTAATAATGAACTAAAAAAAAGTTCACTTATGGATGTCAACCAACAAACTAACACTTAACATAGAAAAGACCTACTACATCTTATTTTGGAAGCAAATCTACAAATGCAATTCAGCTTCAGATAGACAATGTAAACATTAGCAATACAAATGATGGAAAGTTTCTTGGCCTATTCCTAGACAAGAGACTCAACTTCAGTACCCACATTCAACACATAACTAAGAAAGTCTCTAAAACAGTTGGTATACTCTCCAAAATCAGATATTATGTACCTAACTCTGCTCTCATCTCTCTATATTATGCACTAATCTATCCCTATCTCAACTATGGTATCTGTGCATGGGGTTCAACCACTGCAAACCACCTCAAGTCCATCATCACCCAGCAAAAATCTGCTATCAGAATAATATCAAATTCTGCTTTCAGGCAACACTCAGCCCCCTTGTTTAACTCCCTAAACATGCTAAACATAATCTCACTCCATAAATTCTCTTGTGTCAACTACATTTACAAAACCCTGTTCTTAAATGCAAATCCTGCTCTGAAACTCTTCCTGGACAGATGTAATAGGACCCATTATCACCACACCAGAAATAAATATCTCTTTGATATCCCCAGAGTTAAACTTAATCTATGTAAACACT